TGCAGCAATCACTTAGCATTAGACAAAATGCATCCTCTCCCTCTGAAAAAAGACTATATTCTCATTGGGGCTGGTATTATACTAGCTGTTAAACTCAGTATCATTCTCCAGGCAATCATTTTTATACAGTCTCTTTCCAAGGTTTGGATACACGTCAAGCTTTTGTAGTCTGTTCATGTTTCTGCTTATCTATTTGCATATCCATTTGCATTTGGAAGGTAAAGAGAAGGTAATTTTACTACTCATCATGAAGGAGTTCTCCTTTGAAGATTAGTTTTACTTGATTATCTGTTACAATTTTTTAGACAACTTTATTTTCTGGAAAGATATTTGTGATGATAATTATTGTTTCTGTGCTAGCAGAGGTGAGGACATTGCCTCAGGACTATCTGAAGGAATCACTGGTACATTCAAATCCCTACCCAACCATCAGTTATTCTTATCTTTAAGACTCTATTTTCCCATGAACCCTGTTTCAGGTTTATCTGTATAAATAGTGTAGTTGTTATTTTTTTATGAGCTTTGTCACTTTAGAATACAATGTTCACGTTGAGTTTCATAATTAGGTACCTAAACAAACATAGACTGATATTTTAATACTTTCCAAATGCAAGTATCTAATGAAAGGCAAGTATCTAATAAACTCTATTTATCCCCTTAGTATCTTTCAGCAACTTTTTGTAAAGGATGGCAATCAAAAGTTGTGAAAGTTCAAGTCTTTCTTATCTGTATACATTTGCATTTAGCTATTGGATTTTTGTGCTACTCCTTTTGGAGAAACCCTCTCTAAATCAATGGTTTCATGTATATTATCCAACAGAACGTAATCCAAGTGATTTCAAGAGACACTAAGGCCCGTATCAGGTACCTATCAGCTCCATACTTCTTTAATTAAGGAATAAAAGTAAAACTTTCTTTGTACACACAGAGGTTGCACATTTTTTGTAACTGCAACAACACCAGATTTTCCCAAATCCAGCTTTAGAATGCTTCTGGGATTTTGTTTACAATTATACTTGAAGCATTGCAATCTGCTGATAGGCAAGGCTGATGCATCCTGGCTGTGGAAAAGTATCATGTTGAAGGATTTCAGGGATTTCCTTCTTAAAATACAAATTCCTTGAAAGAAACTGTACACTTAGCTCAGGGACTTTAAAGGTATCATAAATAATTATATTTTATTCTGGTAAATGATTTCCACAATGGTGTTATCCAGGTACCTTTTATATTGTCTAAATAGGATCATTAATATTTCCTCTGTGGTGTGGCAAAACATCCTGGTCTTCTGCTACCAGTTTACTTAGTCAAAATGATTATCTGCATCAAGACTGGCTAGATAACTAAGTGCCCAAGAATTCATAGCATTGGTGATGTGTAGGGGGTACACACGGGTGCACATGCACCCCGAGATTGGTGGTGCACCCCCTGCAAAAAGTGCCACTGATGCTGCTGGTGGCATCTGCGGGCAGTCGCCACTCACCCCCCCACCCCGACACTGCTGGTGGTATCTGTGGGTGGTCCCTGATCGCTGCTGAACATTGCCAATGCTGCTGGTGGTGTCTGCAGGTGGTCACCGACAACTGGTTGGTGCTCCCCCCCCCCCCACCAACACCACTGCAGCTGCCTGCGGGACCTCCCTGCTTGCTGCTGTCACTGCCGCCGCCACCCCCTACAGGCAATTGCCGTGCCCCACCCCAGCCTCTGGGAGTACGCAGCATTCATGATGCATAGTGTATGGCAAGCTTAAGTGAAGAGAAATATTTTGCAGTCAGCAAAAAAGAAAACCACATTTTTGTTCCAGGAGATTTCTGGCAGGAATAACCAAATGTGTGAGGCATGACACTCTTTTGTAAACCAGTTCAGCAGTTTTTCTTCCTTATCATATACTTTGCATCATCTTTATACCCCCTTGTTCAGCTGAAAAAAATTAGCCCTGGCCCAGTTTAGAGTAGCAAGCCTGCTGTAAATTCTGTCAAGCTACAATTCTGTTTAGGGGTTGTTCTAACAACCATGAATCTTTAGAACAATGGAAGTCTGGCCCTGGCCATTTTCAGTGGCCCAGCTTCCCCACCACAAGGCTTGAGAAGGGCCTTTAGTCCTACCACAAGAATATTCCTGCATTTAAATAAAGAAGCAGGTGATCCAAATACATGTTTTTGCCTCTTTAATTGCACTAACAAATTATGTCTAGTTAAACCATTCCCCATGAATAACAATTATCTAATTTTATTCAAGATTTGAGCACGAATCATGTTGTCATTTGTACAGTCACGATTACATATAAGAACTAATTCACATAATGCAGTAATATACCCTTGTCAGTTTTCTAGGATTTTATACTGTCTAATGAAAAAAAATGGTCTGCTAAAACACCTGTCAGCAGGTTGAGTGCTTATCCAGTACTAGAATTGCTTTACCAAAATCTGTGAAATCAAGGAGAAAAAACTAGATGGACAGGTATACTATAAAATATACTTTGCTTTTTCAGGTCTGAAACAGCACTTCAGAATAATTTTCTTTCATCCTGACGAAAATGTATCACTGTAAATTACTTGTAAGTAATCCCTGAAATATCATATTCTTAGTTGCCAAGGAATAGCTGGCTCTAGGGCACAGTAAGTAAGATGAAGATACTGACATGAGTCACTTTTCAGATTCCAACTAGGCAAAGGCAGAAAAGATACTTATTGCTTGGAAAGCTGTATTTTGACTGAAGTAAGCAAATTGACAATATGATCAAATTGGACTTTATTTATAATGATGCCAGTGCATTGTTTCACCTTCCTGCTTTCTTCCATTTTCCTTCTTGAATTCTTTCATAAGAGACCCTAATGTTCTAACATTGAGAATTGACACCACCACTTCCAACAGCACAGAATCTCCCAGCCATGCTTAGCACTGATACAGCACTGACTCCACTAGAATAGTGTTCTTTACTTGGTGTTTGGCTACCCCATTTCATGGAGCTCACTGGGATTTTCTTGAGATTGCTTGTCAGATACTAAGGAGGTCCATGTAAGGAACTAACACAGATACAGGCCTGGGCAGAATAGCTGCAGTCACAAGAGCTAGTATATTAGACAATAATTATAGCCAACCCTATTCCTTTTTAACTTTGGGCCACTCTTCCAGACCTTAGCAGGATTCAGAGGTCTACCTGCTCTTGGTAGGGGATTTGTTGGGCAGTAATTTATCTAATAGAGAGCAGCTACGACCTCCTAAATGTTAGTATGCTTTAAATAAAATGCTTAAAAGAAATGTCTAGCCTTTTTGGCTTGCAAAGCAAGTCATCTGAAAAAAATACTAGTCAGTGGCTTATATTCCCCAACTACTTATTTAGCATATGTGTTTTTGGCATATTGTTTCAGCTATTTTAAGGCGATGTCATCACCAGTGTGAAGAGCGACAAGGCCACGAGAGCATTGTAAATGGACACAAGTCAATAATGTGGGACATTGGTTTAAACTTGTTCACAAGGGCATTTGTTGTCATTGCGATGGCCTCATTGGTATAGGTTTGAGGCATGGCGACCCTGTCCAGTTTGAAAACGGCTAAGAAGTACCCAGTAACAGTATGCATGGCCAGTTAAACCCTGGTTGACTGACTGTAGGATCAGATGTGGTGACTGATTGATGCTTGCGCTGACCATTCTTCATGCCATTGAGTAAATAAGGAAAAGTCAAAAGGTTTTGAAAGGACAGACCATATTGGGCAACTTGAGGAGAGCCAAGCTATTCGTGGGTGGAACATGTCCCAGTGCGCTAGCAGTTTAGGATTATCCCCAAGTCTGGCTAGTAGGTTTACTTCAGCACTGTCTGTATTTAAACTAAGTGTATAAATATGAAGTCAAGAATGCTTAGATGACTACTGATATTTAAAAAAAGGCTTTATAAACTATTTACTTGCTGAGCTTGTGAAAGTCAGGTCAAAACCAAAGTATGGAGTTGGTCCAAACTACTTAAACCAATTTGGGAAAGGATCCAAACTTCCCTTAATCTGTTTGTTGAAACCAGGTTGGATATAAACAGGAACCTTTGAGTATTTCTTTTTGTAGCAAACCTCTGATGTGAGATAACATGCATGACTGCTCTCCAAAGAGGTAATATGACTTCTTGTGTAAGCCTGCTTTTCCATTTTATTAATAAACTAATTGATTGTGTTGGGCTACCTGGAATTTGAAGTATTGTCAATACTGCACCGCACATGTATCTAATACTTATTGGCTGTAAGACAACACAACTGAGGTAGTACTCTCTTCCTGAGTCTTTGGGCAGAGGTGCCGAAGTAGCAGTTCTGAGATATGCTGCTTATGGCCTCCTTGACTCTGCAACCTAACTGTGACTGTTGCAAACCCAACAATAATCACCACTTCGCTAATGATCGTTTTAGCAAAATATGTGGCAAATACGCTTCTCTCACTGCCCGAATGCCCCAGGGTCAGGTCAGGCTGGAGTAGTTAGGGCAGGCAGTTATCTACCTCACTGCTCTTGGCCCTGGGGACCAGATAACACCCAGCTGGCCCACCCGCCAGGCCCTGCTCGCCGTCTAGTGCACAGGCCCCGTTGTCAGGCACACGGGGCTCTCCAGGGTCATAAATTCTGGCACTGATGAAGCTACAATTGCTCTCCTACTGCCAAATTTCCCCGCCTGCGCAACCCCCCTGGGTGGAGGCCAGGGCTCCGTGGGCAGGATCTGCCCAGTGAGCTAGTGGCAGATCAGCCCGGCTGCGGCTCCAGCGGGAGGCAGGTGGGTTCTGGTGCCAAGTCTGGGGCCAGGTGGTCTCCCCGATCCTCATGGCAGTGAGATCACGCCATGACATCACAGTGCTATTCTGGAAGGAGGCCACGGACCCCTCGCCCTCCGGTTGCTATGGAGACAGACGCCCGCCACACCGGAAATGGGTCGTCTCAAGCCCCTCGCTCCAGCGTTGGCAGTGGCGAGCCGCGCCGGGACCGGAACCCAGAGCGGGACGCTAGGGTCCAGCCGGGCCCAGTTCGGCGCCGCGCCGCCTCCCCTGCCCTCCCTCTAGCTCCGCCCCGGGGTTGCCAGAGTAACGGAGGCGTTGGAGGAGCGCGGCGCCGGGACCAGGACGGGGGCAAGATGGTGAGAGGGGCCGGGGCCGGGGCCGGGG